ATAGGGTTTAAACTTACGGGTGCCTACATATATATAGACAAGTCTACTCGTTCTACAATATCCTGTCTACTGCGTCTGTCGGCCGACTGTCGGGTTACGGCTCAATTACGACACGTTACGACATGTCGGCTGAAGAATCAAATGCCAGGCTAGAGCGACTTCTGTGGTAAATTCATTGAGTATTTAAGGCAGTTTATCAGGGAACCGCGACGGGTCCGGGGCTAGGGAAGGGACGCGTATGGGGAAGCGCGTCTGTGCGGTAGAGAAAATCTATTCCTGATTCGAATGTATAATTAAAGTTCGTTGCAACCGCATACTTAGATTATTATCGGATCAAGTTAACTTGCAATTTGTGCGTAATTGCTGCGGGAAAACTTTTGCTAAATCGATTTTCATCTGAGAATATTCGCTCATATTTTGTAAATTGGGAATAGTCGCAAATTCTCTGCAGACTCGTAATTTAATGGGAGAGCTTCGAGTTAATAATAACTTTAGGATCTTGCTTGGAAAATGGCGGTCTTATTTTAGTGTGGAAACAAAATCTTCACCTACTGATATATTAGAACTTTTATAATTGTTTAAAAATTGCTTATTTGAAGTTTAAAAGAGCGACTTATATATCTTTCATGGTAACCTAGGTTGTTTAATATATTTTATAAAATGACAACACGTGGGTTCTTTGTGCTTGAAATGACTGTAGAACATCAATCGACTTGTATGCTCAGAAAGTAAAAAAAATATTAGTTTATTTAAACAAAAAAATGGATTAATTAAATTAAATAAATAATTTTTCAAATTTAGATTATAACAAAAGAACCCACAACGCAAACCCTACCTACATCAGCACTCACGCGTTTCTCACCACCACCACCACCATAGTTCTCTCCTGACACCACCACTCATCACACCCCCCCCCCCCCCAACACACAGCACTCCCTCCACCACTCACTCGTTTCTCATCACCCCTACCCTCCCCCCTCTACCATACACGCTGTTTTCACCACCAACACGACAGAAGAGCGGAACATTTTTTGACGGCCTTTTATTGTGAAGGCGCGCGCCGCACAATGCTGCTCTCCCGATAGCAAGCGACCGAAAGACAAGTTCTTTCTGAGCGCGCGATGTCACTTGTGCGCCGCCCTAATGAAATTTTCCTGCACTGAACACCAGTGAACTGGCAACACAACTTCAGGAAATCGTGTTAAGGAATCCTCGAAATATGCTTTGAATTTTTTGTTAAATAATTATTTACCACAGTGCATAGGAGATGAAAAAGGAGAATTAGTACTTGGTAGCTTGAGGAATATATGCAAAATGGAAAGCATCTGAAAAAAATACTTGCATCAATATCTGCATGTTTATTACTTTTTTCTTTTAATATTTATATTTCACTGTTTCTTCAACAAGCTTGGAACTGCCAATGCAAGATCATGATGTCGCTGATAAAAATGAAAAATTAGTAGAACTTTGAACATTTAATTCGAGTTAAACAATCATCTCTATCACTCTAAATGAAGATCATTATAACAAGAAGTTATATAGTGCTGCTCGTTACTCGAGGGCATCCAGTAGCAGAAGTAACGAGTAATAACTTGGCACTCGATTGTAACGAGTAGCAGTAGTAACAACTTGGCTCTCTATGGTAGCAGTAGTCAGTATAAACACTAGTAACGATTAGCTCCTCGGCTCTCGATGGTAACGATTTATCCTATATAGAATAACGAGTCGTACCTCGGCACCCAATGGTAACTTAAAGCATTAGTAACAAATCGCTGCCGAGTTTGTGTGCAAATCACGATCGTGTGATGGTGAGTAACCGCAACAAAGCCTGTGATGAGACCATCGCCAAAGATCAGGTACAGAGCAGCGCGGCAGGATGCAGTGTTCCCGATAACAGTGATCACAGCCGAATTGATAGTGTTCTTACAGCCGAATTCGCTGCCCCTCAATGATTGCTAATAAGAATAACTTGGAATATCTGACAGGGAGAGTTCAAGGAAGGTAAGCCGAATGATTTGTTGGTGAGAAGAAAATTAGAGGCTGCGACACAAATAGTTTGATGGCGAGACCTCAACCATTACAGGACACGTCTGTGAAAGCGCGACAAATTGGGTGCTGCCGTCTAAATGGAGAGCAAAATTAAATGCTGAGACTAGAATGGAGTATGAGAGAGAGCTATTACATGAAGCAAAGTCGTGATGCGAAAAAGCCTTAGTCTGTTTTCAACAATCAGCTTCTGTAAAAATGAATGTCACGATCGAAAATAGCTGTATGGAATTAACAGATATCGATAGCTGAATACGAGCGATTTCCACGGAGATCAAGTTCAAAGTCCGAATAATCAGAGACAAAACATGTCTCCGATGATTCCGTTCCTCAAAACATATCCGACGGGAGCGGAAAAATTGTTTTAGCAAAACCAGTGAGAATTATTACTCCAGTGATCGCCTTAATCTTTTGTTCTTTATAGAACAGGAAATCATGATTTTATGAAGACCACGTTGAAGCTATTGATAATTGCTGTTTCATTTGTTGTAATACGTGAATAGTTTTAACGCTTATGGATTGTTTTGGACAAACCAAAAGTTGGAAACAATTCCTGAAATAACTACTTGGTAGTATGAATTACTTAGACCTGTATTGGTTTTGTTCCTAATTCAGAGTTTCAGCGATAAGAAGACAGATCGAAACTCATTTGATGATATGCATTCGAGGAATAACGGTCAAAATACTTCCATTGAATAACACAGACACCTGAACCATCAACTCAAAAATGGGAGATTTATTTTTTTTTCCATGCGCTGGAATGTTCTTGATGTGAAATATCTTCTGTCACTCATAAAACTTACGCATGAAATATTGATGTATAATTTTTTTGCAAATCCAGGCGTGCGCGTAGTGAAAAAAATTGAAGTGACGAAAGTTTCTTTGATGCACAGCCCGGCGAGCGGTGCATACAATCGTCTGCCCGAGCCAAAAGCCTGTCAATGAGAACAGAAATGAGGTTTGCTGCAGCGAAAGTAGAGATTTCGGCTCTATAGGTTGTAATGAATGGAAGAATTTAAGTGGCAAGCTAAAGCAAAAGTTCATGTCTATACGTGACAATTATTGGGTGTTGGTATAACGAGTTTTCCTGGCGACTAAAGTAATGGTCGTTGTTTCTTAAGCGAATATATATCAGTAAATAAGTCCAACTGAGAAACTCTATCAATTCTCTACAACTAAAAATACGTGACAACAGATGGAAGTTGAAATTGCTTTGTGCCAGTAGATGTACATAAAATTAATGGTTCCATAATTTGGTAAGGGTTTTAGTTCTATGTATATATATATATATATATTGGTGTAGTTCGGCAGAAGCTTCTCTTTTATGCAAGTTTGATTGAAGACCAGAGCATGCTTTTTATTTACAATCTTCTTGTTCGTCTTTTCTATGAGTCGAACTAAATTTCTAGCTGGAGCCGGTGTTCGGCTTATCGAAAAGAACAATAAGAAAATCGTAAATAAAAAGTACGCTCTGGTCTTCAACCAAACCTGTATAAATGAAGAACTTCTGCCTAACTACACTAATATATATATATATATACATAGAACTATGTATATATATACTATACATGCAATCCCACAACTGAACAAAAAACAGTTTCTATTTTTCATTCAGGATATTTTTTCAACTGTTCCTGCTCAGTTAACGTTAATCTAATTTCTTTAAACGCTTTCTTTATAAAAATGTTTTTCTCTAAGTCGCCCAAAAGTTCTGTTCAATTACATAAATCCAGATTGATGTGCAGTCATGTGTTTTATTTCGATCGTTCTATACAGGCTTGATCGCGATGATCTTTTCATTTCAGCGACCAACATTTCACAGGCTTTATAAGGGCAAATATCAAAAATGCACAATGAAGCTCTGAGTGTAGAGCTTACGAATTAGTTAGAACACAAAGAGAGAAAGAGATTTTCTCCTGCCCAATACATCACGAGTGAGTGATCACTCTATACTTTTACGTTATTCACGTTTTAGGAGAAGTGAATTCTGGGTTTTGTTCGACATGGTCCAATGCACTGTAATATCCGGGTTATTTTCTGCTGAAAAAATTGTTAGACTGGGCAATAAATTTCACCTGAACGATAGATTGTAATCACGTTGCTTGCTTAGCACCAAAATAAAAGAGAATTTATTGCGACTTGCTGCTCACAGTGTTTTCTACGTTCAACTTTTGGCCTTACAAAGAACGCTTCAAATTCCTAACACAAAAGATTTATTAATTACATCATTTCTCTGCGATATAATAAGTGAATGACCTCCCTCAGATCTGTAGTCCGACTACCAAATTATAAATCACACCATTATTCATTATATGAAGAGTTCCATTCGCTCCGACTCATTCCTAGGGTTTATTATATATTTTTTCAAAAACATTATTATTTTTATATGTTAAACAATAAAAATTTGGCATATCGTTGAAAATTTATGACCTCTTGAAGTCCGAAGAAAAGAGCGATTTGAACATATGAACTAATCTGAAACAGTTTTCCAACTGTGCTGTAACATTAAATTTCTGACCCAGTATAATATACTAATTTCAATCTTAAACTCCTTGCATCGACTTCGATAATCATCAAAATTTATTCAAAGCTTCACTACGGGAGCACGGGAGCAGGCATTACATGAAACATTTTTTCGTTAGTTCGTCCTGGTTTTCTTTGTTCCCATTGTTGATCTCACGACTAACTTGCCTCAAATTCAGCATCGTGAGAAATTCGATGTAAAACACGGAATTATCTGGGACAAAGTAGCTCGCAGAAAGCCCCCGGATTTCTTTTATACGCGTTTGCTGCAGAACAAGGCTGGTCTGTGAGGCTTTTAAGGCTATTGGAATGTCGCGCGTCCATCGAAGGCGTCTGCAACATTGCGAGGCGCGAGCACGCGAGCGGCGACGCGTGTGGGGGCAACTGCCGTCCATCTCGTTACTTTACAGGCTGCTGGCCTGCTGGTGAGCTCACATTGTTACTGTTATGGCTGCTGGTGAACTCACATTGTTTCTGTTATTGGCTGCTGGTGAGCTCACATTGTTACTGTTATGGCCTGCTGGTGAGCTCAGCACGTTACTGTTATGGCCTGCTGGTGAGCTCACATTGTTACTGTTATGCCTGCTGGTAAGCTCACATTGTTACTGTTATGGCTGCTGGTGAGCTCACATTGTTACTGCTATGGCCTGCTGGTGAGCTCACATTGTTACTGTTATTGGCTGCTGGTGAGCTCACATTGTTACTGTTATGGCTGCTGGGGAGCTCAGCACGTTACTGTTATGGCTGCTGGTGAGCTCAGCACGTTGCTGTTATTGGCTGCTGGTGAGCTCAGCACGTTGCTGTTATGGCTGCTGGTGAGCTCAGCACGTTACTGTTATTGGCTGCTGGTGAGCTCACATTGTTTCTGTTATTGGCTGCTGGTGAGCTCACATTGTTACTGTTATTGGCTGCTGCTGAGCTCACATTGTTACTGTTATTGGCTGCTGGTGAGCTCAGCACGTTACTGTTATTGGCTGCTGGTGAGCTCAGCACGTTACTGTTATGGCTGCTGTTGAGCTCAGGCTGTTACTGTCATGGCCTGCTGGTGAGCTCAACGCGTTACTGTTATGGGCTGCTGGTGAGCTCAGCACGTTACTGTTATAAGCTGCTGTTGAGCTCAGCATGTTACTGTCCAGAGCTGCTGTTGAGCTGAGCGCGAAGCTGTTAGCAAGTTCAGCATGTAACTGTCATAAAATGCTGTTGTGCTCATCAATTGTGTTGCTGTCCTGGGGTGCTGTAGCGGGCAACCACTAACACGTACAGGTCGTAATCATAAGTCTACTGTACATTGCGGAATTTCTTGTAAATACCGGAATGGAGGGCAGTCTGTCTGTGCAGCTTATTTTAATACAAGGGTTCTATATACAAGTATGTTTACCAACAATGAGGCGTGACGTACACGTTACGTACAGATGATTTGCAACGTGGCGACTCCAATCGATGAATATGCTTTCTGTCTCACTAGGTAATGGTGAAGTTCATTAATCTCCGATAAGTCTGCATCTTGCTTTCTATGATTATGAAGAGGTTCTCAATCCACTAGAGCGAGGCATGTTCATGTACGTATTCTAGCCGGTAATCATCATATCATCACAAATTATATCAGGAAAAATAGACACATGAGTTGTTCTTCCATTCACCGTCAAAATTTATAATCTAGATGACTATAGAGGCTCTAAGAATACCGGCAATAATTTTCTACCTTCCTCTCACGTCATCTGTCTTCTCTCACCTGTTTTCTGCTTTATTCCAACAATAAACGTCTTATCCGCACCGCCATATAGGTGCAGAACACCATAAAATTCCAGATTTCATCCAAATATGAACCTACTAATTATGAATTAACCCATATGCTATGAATACAAATTATTTGGAGAATTGAGTATGAAAAAACTCCTAATAATTTTACTTAACCATTTTCGACGTATAGATATTCTTTATAATTGGAGTCTATACCATTACAGTGCTCTTGAGATCAGCGTGTTACTGGCTTCAGTTTATCGTCGCGATCAACGTGTAATCGTTGAGATCAGTTTATCTTTGAGCTGTTGAACACAGCGTGTTTTTGTGATGGTATTTGTTTAGCTCAGCACCTTGTGACTGGGATGAATCGAGCTCAGCATTCTAAATTACATGGTGAACGTTTTCAACATGTAATTTAATCACATGCTGGACGTTTTCAACATGTTTGTTCGGTACTACTCCATTGTTTCTGTGCTTGAATATATCTTCATGTCCGACTTGAACTCCGATGATTATCCATTGTCAATGGGCTGATTATGTCCATGATGTATCTTTTTCCTTCGGGAAACATTTAATAAAATTGTGTAGATTCAAGTTTCTGCATGAAATATTTCATGTAGAAGTATTACTTCTAGAGCATAATAAATGACTTGCAACATTTTGTGCGCAGTATTTGAATATCCACGAAAAATTATAATGCTGCAAATAAATTTCAGCTCGTGGCTAGTTAGAGGAAATATTCGTCCGGCGCGACGACTTGATTGATTTATGTAATCGTCATGCGTGCCTCCATTGGGCGTTACCATGTAATTAAGACCGCAGCCATACCAGGTCTAGCCATACCAGGTCTGCAATGCCTAATGAAGCCATGAAGTACAATAGACCACGCGGTCTGCTCAAGACCAACAAAATGAACGTCCGTAATAAACTTTCTGCATGCGTGACTGCGGTATTCTACGATCCCTGGATGACGGACTGGACGTCAAAGTCGCCCCTAATTGTCGTTCTAAATCTAATCAACGATGAACACAATGCAGGATTCTTTTGATTTTTCTATGTGTTCCCTGCAATTCTCCAAATCCAAATACACGTGTCTCATGGTTGTAGAATATATGTTTGAGCCAGAGTGAAGTAAAAGAAGCGTCTTGTAAAAAAGGAGTCTTGGAAGTCGTCTAAAGTAATGATTTGGAAAATTTTCTAGTTATTCGTTCCTGGATATTAATAGATTTCACAATTAATCGGTTTGATATAAATTAAAACTTTATATTGGTCAAAATCTATGATTTTTGACAGCATGGTGAACAGTCGAAAAAAGGCTGTCGAGCCTACAATTTTTAAATTCAATTGATGCCCAATTACAGCTTGCCTGGAGATAAATCTTTCCGAGACCGACATTTTATTTTCGCGCAAGATCAAAGTCGGTTAAATCATTAGTCCTTAGTATTATAAGGCGTAATATATCGGTAATTTATTTTCTTAATAAGAGCTAAGAAACATGACTTATTCGTTTGCGCTACTTGGATAAATGTGGGCGATATTGAACCATAAATTGAAGTTTTATAGAAAGTTTGATTGGTTTGATATACAAATGCAATAGAAGCTGACAGCTTTATGTGCAACTAAGAAACTTGGAATGTCTTGTTTAAGAAGTTTCTTAGCCGGGTGCAATTCTTGGAGCGTCTCTTCTTCTTTCACTATGTGCGTTAGAACTTATCTAATGAATTTTAGAACAGTAAATATTCTGCGCTGCCCTTTGTCGAAGTAATCCGTATAGCAGTCTTTACAGAGAGCAGAGGCCATCTCAAGCTCTCTTTGAAAGAGAGAAAGGGTTATCTGAACTCAATACATTAACCATGAAAGCTTTTGGGAGCCTTAATGCAGTGTTTGTTCGGTACTCCATCGGACCGATCACCCAGCCCAAGGTTTGCTTTACTCACGATAAATGACCGAGACGACGAGAGGCATGTGAGGCGTGCCCAGAGACCGCGGTGAATAGAGATCTTCTCGATGATTTTAGTGAGTAAAGTTTGTCGACATTTTTACGGAGTCCATGTCTCATAACATTTTAGCCCATTTATAGGGCTAATGAGAGGTTATAATACATTCATAGAAAATGATTGAAATTGTTAGTAATTAATTTCTTACTCTCGGAAATTAAGTCACTACAAAGCTAGACATGAAATTTTTTATATAAATTTAAAACTAAATAATCGACTAATATATTTGATGAAAGTCATTTTTTCCTTTCATTTGATGAGCCCTTTCACGTTCGACGTAATTGATATCGTGGATAAGCCATTTTCCCCATACTTTATCACTAATCATTGTCTGGAATTGTCATATAAGGTCAAACTAGTAAACGAAAATTGTAGGTCTTTGACGAAGTATCTAAAGTACTCAGTTGAATGATACACGTTGCACTGAAAACAGGATACCTCATCTGTGATACACAATCCTTAATATTTAGCTTGTCACGAGTGATTAAGAACAAGTTGACCCTGAAGCTACAATCACAAATAAATTTTTGAATACCAATAGGTGTCAATGTCTATAAATTTTTGTCAAGCTTCTTCGTGTATAAAGCTGCTGAAACTGAAAGTGCCCTTTGAATATTTTTGATTTTTGAATTATAGATTTAGATTCAGTTAACGCCATTACATATAAAAGATCACTATAATAGGCCTTAATGCGGTGTCTCGGCTGGCAGGCTCGAGAATGTGTCAGGCCGGCATATATAAAATAATAATTACGAATGATAAATGCTCAACCTGACTAGATTTGGTGACGCAATCATTTGTTCAACAATTCCTTGCTCCATGAGCAGGTATATCAAGTTCCGCCCTCAATTATTGGTGTAAGAGAATATGAAAAAATATGGTTTAAAGTTAACAATTGAATGGCAGTGTTGGGTATGTAGAAATAGCGGCGAGAAAAATGACTAAGCTTGTTCACTACAGTAGTACGACTACAATCAATATGTCAATGGAATGTGGGTGTAAATGTTTAAATTACAAACAAAACGTCAAGCTCTAGTATGAGTATTGCAAAATTTTCACGAATGTTGTTCATCAATTTGAGTATACAATACAAAGTAAAGAAATTTCTCTTAGAAATTGTTCAGTAAAAAAACTCGAAAATATATTAGAAAAATGGAATCGATTATAATCAATAAGATAGTGAGTTCTGCACTGCAATTTGGATTACGGCTGAAATAATTCGGTTTGGCTTCAACAAATGTTTTGACCGGCATGCAATTCAGCTGTCAAACAGCATCTGTAATTGGGATTAAAATGATAGCTGCCATCTTCGTCTGACATCAGGAGGCTGACTTACGTTGCTCTTGACTCGTTACTGTCAACATTGATCAAATTTCCTGCGCATTAAAGTTTTTACCATCATATTAATGTTGAGGTCATTAGAAGGAGTAAACTGCTCGATTGCAGGCCAATTCGCCGCTGCATTATTCTTACATATTATTTGATTAAACCGTAAATAAAATACGTCTGTATTGTCTAAGGTCTCTGTGATGCGAAGCCGGAAGACCGCGTCTCTGCCACCACTACAAGCCAAAACAGGATAATTTCCCCTCATTGTTGGGCTTCATTAGTCTTGTCTGTGCCCATCAAGAACACTTGATCGTGTCTTCATCCATTTAACTCTACGGCTTCGTGACTGCCTCATCATGCTAACTCATCCAGTGTATCCGGCACTGCATCTTACATTCTGTCGCGGAAGTTTTTGAGGCAAGATTCTGAATAAACTACAGGGTGCGGCGTGGGAACTTACTCTTTTAAAAAAATCACAAAGTAAAAAGTATTAAAGATAGCGTTTTAATTCTTTCTTTTTTACAAAGAGCTACATTTAAAGTTTCGTTGGGTTTACTTACAAGTTTAATTCTTGAATATTACATCTTGTAGGTGACCTTTGAGTGGACGAAAAACTTCATAGCCCGCGCACCATATTGCGCATGGCGCCACCTTCCTAGGACTAATGGCCGCCACGTGGCGCGCAATTCAAATAAGTAAGTTCCCGCGCCGCACCCTGTATAATTGTAGCAAATGAACACTACTTGGTAGCTTGAACTTCCGTGAGCAATATTGCATATATCAATTTAGATTAAACAGATGAATATAATTGGCTTTCTACTAGGAATAAAACAGTAATTTTTAAAATTTTCGCTCATATAATTCAGCAACGTTTGGCTCCTGCTAAAAAATTAGATTTATAATATATGTGTATATCTGGCAGAATAGCAGTAGTTCGGACGTGAAAAAAGATGTTACCGTTTATTATACTTCAGGAAATCAATTTAAACGCTGATTATTGTCAAAAGATGTAAAAAGAACTTTTTTCTGGCTTAGCTTCCACTTTTTTTGCCAGTAATCGAAACTTTTTTCTACAAAATCACAATACACATTTATTAAGCAACCAGAAACATTGAAAATGGTATCGCAATTTACAAACTAACAAGTTTCGAGTACAGATTTTGACGTACACTATTACGTAAAGATGAAATACGGTCCATACTTCCTGCAACAAAAATCCGGATAGTGAATTTAAGCAAAATTTGGTTTTCATGATCAGATTTGTGATCTTCAAAATTTATTCTCTGAAATTTCCCCGGCCAAGAAAATATTTACGTAGTGTCATTATATTCTTCACAGGCATGCGAAGCGTGGCAAGGAGTTGGACGGCGGGGTAATAGAAATGCCAAGCATAATTTTTGCATGCGAGGAGCCCTCACAAGGAGCCAATTTACACGAACTCCCTGCAAAGCAAAGCGATAAATTATATCCCATTGTTGAGCGTCCACGGACCTCTTGCAAGGCCAGCAAGATTCTTCGCGCAACGACGCCAGTCTTGCTTTTGATAAAATGGCCGCTTCTAAATATCCCAGCTCTAGAACGCCCTCTATTTTATCCATTGTTCAAGGTCCTGCGAACTGACGTCGCCAGTGATCAGTTGGGAATATATTTTCAAGTTCTTTTAAATGCCTTTTTATGTACATGAATACAAGTCTATATAAAAATACCACAG